TGAGAGATTGTTAGCTTTCTTTGAGATTGATCATTCCCAAGTTTTAACATACCTTGGTGTGAATCACCTATACAATTTGCTAGTTTCTTTCCTTTATTTTCTACTTCTTTGTTCTTAGCCTTTTGTGCTAAAAGAAACGTATGTCTCTACATAGAGATTAAGATTCATATGAAGCATGCTGCTTATATGTGAGTTTTAGGTTCATAGTGTATATGTTGTAATCTCTATATTTCTTTTTGGATCTTGGAGTTGATCAATTTCTCTTTGCTTCAAGAACTCTGAAATCAATTGTTAAATCTATAGTATCTCTCCCTTATATGCTTATTAAAAGGATTGACATCGAGATTGCCCCCATGGACATGGAGTTTATGATTTAATTAGTAATCTTATTTCTTTTATATATATATATATATATACATATACATATACGTATACATGTATATACATATACATATACGTATACATGTATATACATATACATATACGTATACATGTATATACATATACATATACGTATACATGTATATACATATACATATACGTATACATGTATATACATATACATATACGTATACATATTTATTGCTCTTTTCCTAACAGATAATGCCAACAAGTTGGATGATACACGAATTCTATTAAAACTAGAGAACTGACTTACAACCAGTTGTATGTAAAAAACAGCTGAATTTTCCTTGTATTATGAATAACATTTGATCACAAATTAAGCAACAATCTGAGGATCTAGACATATAGAAATGAAGAAGAAGAAGAAATGAACCCGATTTCTACAAATCATCTGTAATAAAATTTTGCAGACCACTGATCAACTTCTTTTCAAAGAAAAAAAAAATCTATAACACTCGCAACAGCTTTCATAAACTCTGTTTTCCACAACTAATTTCACAGATAGCCAACAAACCTTTTAAAATTTTTTCACAAGTAAGAAGAAACATCCCTCATTTTGGAAGGCATGAATGCCAGAATCAAAAGAACAAGCAGAATCCCAATAGGAAGAAGCAGCAGCATGATCGGAGGTGGTGGCAATGGAGGCAGTATAAGAGGAAGAAGAAGCAAAGACGCAGTGAGACATGCGAGCAACAAGAAGGATTCCACACTGAAACAGCCCAAAGTCAAAGATTTCGTATTCGTGACCTGAGGGATAGTAGACTTCCTCGGCACTATAAGCCTTCTTCGTCCCGACAATGGCGGCTTCATTCCTTTGCTTTCCATCAAGCTGCTGCTGTGCTTTCTAATGCTGAATAAACCTCCAAATCTCAACTCTATATTCAGCTCCTCAAAATTCATTTAATGGAGAGAATCTCCACTATATGCAGAACAGGCAATGCACTCCGATACTTTGAAATCAGGGAAAAAGAATCCCTTTTTATTTAAAATCAAAAGAAGAGTTGTTGCAGACGTCTATGAAGGATCTGGAGCTGCACAAAATCAAAACTTTTTTTTTATTAGAGCAGCCGTTAGAAGCCATAAATCAAACATAACCATATGCGGCACGAGAGAAATCGAGAGCACAGATCCTCTCTACAGATTATGCCAAAAAAAAAAAAAAAAAAAAAAACTTTTTTTTTAACATCAAATAAATTAAAAACTTTACTTCCAAATCCTCAAATAACTACAGAAATTTTGTCATCTCTTTTCCCAGCCGCGCGTCTGAATCTACTCACAGACATAGAACTCAACACAAAAATTCCAGAAAAGGATCTAAGAACATCAAGAAAGCAATAAAAATACCTGTTTTGTTCAGCTCCAGCTCAGAATGGGTTGAGAAGAAGGCAAAGGGGAGAAGCAATGGAGAGTTTTATAAAGAAAAGAGAAGAATGTGTTGATGCATCAGCCTTGAGAGAAAAGGGAAGAAGGAGAATGAGGTTGAAAGACTTTGCTTTCCTTTTTAGTTTAAATTTGGTGGTTTACAGAGCGGATGGGGATCTGTTCTTCGGGAAATCGAAAGTGGGCGGATTCATTGTATTGTAATTAATGATTAATGCTTTTTTCTGTCTTTCTGGAGCGGTAAGCGGCTGGAGGGATGAAAGCCACACGATTCAAAATGATTCATCTTTTATAAATGTATTAAGGGGGGGATTTCAATATTACGTACGGCAGTCAAAAGATCTGAATTTTGCACGTGTCTCTGGCTTACAATTAAAACTAATTTGGCGCTGTTATGGTGAGGCTGTATTGGGTTAATGGTGTTTATGTGCTTATAATACACCAATGGTCGGCTACTGGGCTGCTTTTATTATAAATGGCTGAAAGTAATTTCAGTAATATGTAAAAGTAGGCTTTTAGCGAGCTTGTTTCAAGTCCAGTCGGGCTCAAAATCACTACGAATGAGTTGTACCAATAAATTCAGTAAATCGGCTCGTGACATATTAACTCGATTTAAAATTGAAATTGAAATTGAAATGAGCTAGTTTATTTTGATCTATTCTAACTCGAAATAAACTCAATCCGGCTCGAAATCGAAACAAGATGACTCAACAGCTCTAAATTGGCTCGTAGCTCGTTATATTTGATTCTAGTTTGCATTTTATATAACTTTTACAAATAAAAAATAATTTGAGGAGATAGAGCTAGTTCAAGTCTATTCATGCATGACTCAAAATCAGCTAAAAAAATTCGAACTGAAATTTTGGCTCATAGCTCGTCTTGTTTCTCGATCCAAAATTTTTTCATTGCGCTCAATGTTATTTCCAAGATGATTGAATTAGATTTTGCTTTCTAAATGAAGTGTAATTTAAAATAACTTTCATAGATGATAGATTTTTAAGACTTGAAAAAACCAAATGAGTAAAACAATAAAACAAAAAATCATATGGCTGAATTCCTGATATCATCGCTTGCCTAATCAGTTGAACGTAGACCAGAACAATTGAACCAAATTTAGATAATGGGAGTTGGCAACTTGACATTCCCTTTGGAAATATTAGTACTTTTATTAACCAATATTATATATTTAATTTCCTAAAGTTTGGTTTACTTTGCAAATTATAACAAGTTTCTTTGAAAGCGTTTAAACGTATTTCTTCAAGTTTTTGCAGCAAAATGAGATGTTAGTAAATTATTGCAAAATGCAATCGCCGTATTTATTAGTATTGAATTTTGTTGTGTGCCGGGAAATTAATGGCCGTAGAGTGATAATTTGAAAAATAAGGGTTAAAACGCTACATCAAATAGCATTGTCTGTGCACAATGTACAAAACATTTCAAAGGTTTGAAGAAAGTTGTCGTATTATTAGATTATGAATAGTCATTGCCAAAAGTTTTTTTCGTATATGTAATGAGGGGTTATATGCTGCACCATTTTGAAGATGCTTCATTTCACTATATTCAAAGCAATTTGTTGCATAATATTCATGGTGCTTTGTTGCACGATATTTTGGATACTTTGTTGTATAGTATTCAGGAATATCTTTCTACACAGCTGAGTTCGCCGACGGTGGCTGATGGGCATGGACAATTGTGGTCGGCGACTACAGAGAACAAAAAATTATCGTTGGGTCTTCATTACAGAACAACACTGTAATTTGATCTCTCGCATTAACTGAAGATAGTGAGTCTATTTATAAGCTCCAAAGGAAGACATTTTGGTCATTCTACTATTAACTTTCATAATCACCCGATTGAACGGGTCATGTTGATTTGGTTACATCATAGAGGTGTTTTTTTATGATGTAAAAGGCTTAATGACCTCAGAATCGAGTGATATTGAGATCATTGGATTTCTCTGATAAAATTTGGAGTTTATTTGACTATCCGATTAACTATTTAAAACCTCCAAATGTGGTTCAATAATTTGATATTGGTAGGATTGGGCTCAGTCGAAACTTATGTTGGCATCATTGGGTTGATCATGTCGAGATAGTCAATTTGACTATAAGCTTTCTGAAATAGGAGCTATGAATGCTTTTTCATTGGGCTGTTTACATACATCGCACTCGAAACATTGCTTTTTACAAATTTAGCACCCATGTTCATCTATTTTTAAAATTTTCAGCTAAATATCAAAATTCATGATAAAACTCCAACTCATATATTTTATTTTTATCAAATTCTCACTCACTGGATTGATCGTGACATGCTTAAATACATCAAACTCAGTTTGGTAAGTTGCTCGTGAGCTGAGATTGACCAGCAAATAAGCCAAGCTCAAGTCAACACCAACTCAACTCGTAAGCTCTTGAGACTACTCATTAAAAAAAATTGCATTAATATAACACATACTCAAAATATATTAAATTTCAAGATTTTATCTTTAAATTAACATAATTATTTTCTTAAAAAAAAATTTCATATTTTAATATAAAATAATTTCTTAATATTTGTCTCCCAATTAATTATTTCATTTACGTTTTTGCCATAACACACATTTAAATTATTATTATTATTATTACCTATTTTATAATAAATAAGCTAGCAAGTGAGCTCGACCTAACCCCGAGCTCCATTAATTTAGTTAAGTTTAAGCTCAAGCTGAGGGTGGCTCACACCTAACTGAAGCTTCATCGCAGAAATAAGAACTCTTAGGACAGTAAATTTGGCCATTTGGGGGCTTGAATTAGGAATGGTGACAAGTTTGCATGGTAAGTTTGATTATTGTTGAAGGAGAAAGGTGATGAAACTTTTCCCAGGATAAATATTTAGTATGGATCAGAGAATAGTTTTGAAGTTTTTGGATGTTTTTGGTATTAGCCCTGCCATAAGTAATAAGATAATGGGAAATTTACATCATACCCCACAATTCTTATGTATCTAACACCTAACATTTGATATTTATATTTATAACATTTATTTATAAACTTTGGTCTTATTAATCTACGGATGAAAATACTTATTTTTTATTTTTAAAAAATTAATAATAATAATATTTTGATGTGACATTAAGGATTTGTGTTGTGTGTATATAAATAAGAATTTTTATATATTAAACATGTAAATGCATAAGAAGTACAGGGTACATATGTAAATGCCCTGAGATAATTTTCTGCTTAAATATGGTTTTGGCCTAATTTTATAACCTATTAATCTCAAAATATAAATTTAACAGCTCTAAAGTAAAATCCAACATAATCAAATTTAGTAAAAAAATATTCTGATACATAATTTTTTTTCTACCATTTTTGGTGGCTAATTGCATAGCCCAAGCCGCATCTTTTTATTCCTGTAAATATAATCAGGAAATCGTGAAGTCAATAAGTTGTTTTTGAAAAAATTAACATAAAAGAAATTATGTGGAGGACAAAATAGCAGAATCAGAATTTAAGTAAGTTTTAATTAGCCCATGCAATTAAAAACAATAAATCTACGAGTAATAAAATTTTAATTAACAAATCATATATTTTATTCATTTCAAACTTAAAAAAACAAATAAATAGCCGAAGGTTATGATACGAGCTCGTAGCTACCCTCATGCTCCTAACCACTCGATTCCGCGCTGGAAGACAGATGCACTTTGACAAGCTCGAACCCATGACCACAGGAGACCTAGAACTAACTTTATAGATGTCAATTAAAGAGTCATAATAAACGACACTATTCATTTCAAAATTAAGCTAATAACTTTATAGAAGAATTCCAACTAATACCCCGACCCACAAATTCTCCTAACCATATCATCACCGCAGACTTCAATGCAATAATGTTGATATATAACGGGCTTAAATTAATTGATTGGCGACATAGTGGGCTGAAAACTTAATGATCAGTGGGCCTATTAGTGCCTAGTATTACTAGTTCTTATAAATGTCACAATCTGCTACAATATTTCATTTCTCTATCCTGCTGA